GCCTCGGCCTCCCAAAGTGCTGGGATTACAAGCGTGAGCCACCGCGCCCGGCCTAAAGTCAGGTATTTTTTAAATGAATGATTTGTGTATCAGATTGCTATGTATTTAGATCTCATTTGAATACATTTTTAAATGAGGTAACAGTTTTATTTTAAATGCCAATATTTATAATTTGCTGGAAATCATACGTTGCATGAATCTGAACATATGAAGAAAACTTGTAGACATTAACATAGAAATATACAAGAGATTTCATAGTTTTTCAAAAGTCTCTAAAACCACGGTTCCTAAACTGTGCTCTCGGGCACTGTGGGTGGCTGTGGTGAACTCAGAGGGGCACAATGAAGGTTATTTTAACTCTTTGAAGAAAAATAGCAATATCTGTTGGAGAATGTGTACACTACTAGCTCAAAATTGTTTACTGTTTCAACATTAGTTCCCCCTACAATCCTTTTGATAGATAACATCATATTTTCACAAAGCTGGGTTTAAATAGTTGCTATGACAAAAGCAAATACCATAAGAAAACCAATATGTAACAGGAAATGAGTGTGTAGGTGTCCACTCTGATACGAAATTTTGATAAGTTGTGCAATTCCAACAGGCACATATTCCATTAGTAAGGATAGTTAGAATGAAATAAAGACATTCTCTCTTTCAATATTTGTGTATTATTTTTTCAAACAGCTACAAAGTTGTTAAAGCATAAACACTTCTTAAGCTGTGTGGACCATGAAGTTATTGCTGTCAGGAAATTTTTTTTTTAAAGTTATGTGGACTGGCTGGGCGTGGTGGCTCATACCTGTAATCCCAGCACTTTGGGAGGCCAAGGTGGGTGGATAACCTGAGGTCAGCAGTTCGAGACCAGCCTGGACAACCTGGTGAATCTCATCTTTACTACAAATACAAAAATTAGCTGCGCATGGTGGCAGGCGCCTGTAATCTCAACTACTCAGGAGGCTGAGGCAGGAGAATCACTTGAATCCGGGAGGCGGAGGTTGCAGTGAGCCGAGATTGTGCCATCGCACTCCAGCCCAGGCGACAGAGCGAGACTCCGTCTCAAAAAAAAAAAAAAAAAAAAATTGTGTAGACCATTCAGTTACTTAATAAATTGAACGGTTAGGTATTTATTTTGGTCTAGGGTGAAAAAGTATTAAATAACTAAGGGTGCCACAAACTGAGAAAGGTTGAGAACCTCTGCTTTAAGGGAGTATGGAAGCAAAGTAAGTTCGATGGTCCCAAGCCAAGGAACTCTCCTTTAGTTATACCCGGGATTGCCAGCAGGTGGTGCTACTAAGATTGAGTCAGCTGGGGAAGAGGAACTATTTCTTTTCTTCTTTTTTTTTTGAGACGGGGTCTGGCTTTGTCGCCCAGGCTGGAGTGCAATGGTGCGATCTCGGCTTACTGTAACCTCCGCCTACTGGGTTCAAGTGATTAGCCTGCCTCAGCCTCCCTAGTAGCTAGGATTACAGGAGCCCGCCACCACACCCAGTTCATTTTTCTGTATTTTTAGTAGAGACAGGGTTTCACCAGGTTGGCCAGGCTGATCTCAAACTCCTGACCTCAGGTGATCCACCTGCCTCAGCCTCCCAAAGTGCTGGGATTACAGGCATGAGCCACCACACCCGGCCAAGAGAAACTATTTCTTGTTCCCAAGGTCTGAAACACTCAGAGTAAGGGGGTGTTTGTGGACCAGACAAGATATTATAAATCTAAAAGGGGTGCTTAGCTCACTTAGTCCAGTCATTTTGAAACTTAAAAAAAAAAAAAAAAAGTCAAAAGAATCTCCTTTCAAATAAAATCTTAAAATAAATAAAAGCAGAGACATTTCTTAAGTGGGCTAAGGGAGGCTGATGCCCTGCGACAGTGAGGGCAGATACCAGAGCCCAAAGAAGGGCACCCGGGAAAACTGCAGGTATAGGGAAGACTTTGGGAAATTTCCTCATCTGAATCAATCTCCACCTCAGAGAGTGAACCAAGGCTCACAAAGCTCTGATATCACAGATGCAGAATTGTTCAAGAATAGAGATCTGAAAAGGAAGATCAACTTCATCCTACTGATCTCAAAGCCAGAAGGATCAGGGCTCTGCTCTAACACCCACTCCTGTAAGACCCTGGGCAAATCAGTTCATACTGAAGAGTTCACTTTCCTCATCCGTAAGATGGAGAATATTTATCTCATAGGGCTGTTGTAAAGATTAAATGAGACAAGATGAGAAATAGTAAACTACAAGAATATACAGAATTTTTTACTCTGTTTGGGTCTGGATTAAAGGAACAAAGCCTAGCGTAGTAGGAAGTAGTAGGGAGCTCAGCCGAGTGTGGTGGCTCATGCCTGTAATCCCAACTGCTTATGTGGCTGAGGCAGGAGGATCACTTGAGCCCAGATGTTCAAGAGCAGCCTGGGCAACACAGCAAGACCCCATCTTTATTAAAAAAATTTTTTAGGTAGGGGCTAATGGGTTTTTGGGGCCAATGGGTTTTTGAGTATTGTAACCTATAATAAAATGAACTTTTTTTTTTTTTTAGAGACAGAGTATCACTCTGTTGCCCAGGCTGGAGTGCAGTGGCACGATCTCAGCTCACTGCAACCTCCGCCTCCTAGGTTCAAGCAATTCTCCTGCCTCAGCGTCCCAAGTAGCTGGGATTACAGGCATGCGCCACCACGTCCAGCTAATTTTTGTATTTTTTAGTAGAGACGGGGTTTCATCATGTTGGCCAGGCTGGTCTCAAACTCCTGACCTCAGGTGATGTGCCTACCTTGGCCTCCCAAAGTGCTGGGATTATAGGTGTAAGCCACCGTCTGGCCTAAAATGAACTTTTGACTTACCATCAAGTATTTTTTAATAATAGTATAGTATTTTGACCTTGTGTGGGAAAGGCACAGATTTTGTTTTCTGGTGACCCCTAAGTGACATTTGTTATTAACCTCATCATTTCCCCACTCCTGCCATCCTCACCTTGCAAAGCCAACACCTCTGCTGGTCCCACTGGTATCTCGAAGGATACGGGTGGAGATAACCTGGCCAAAGGGCTTCAGCATCCCCTCCAGTTCCTGCTCATCCATTGACAGTGGGAGGTTTGAGATGTATAAATTTGTGGGGTCCTGTTCCTGTTGCTATGGAAATAACAATGAGAAAATGAAGCTCACATCTCTTATCCCTCTCCCACCCTCAGCCCGCCTCACAAATGACATTTCAGAAAAGAGACTATAGGAACGGTCCCACATAAACAGAGATTATTCTGTTTGTTCACACCCAGTCCCATTACCACGGGTTGTATATTGAGTTCCAAGAGGGAAAAGCACAGATTTAATATTTCTAGTACTATACAAGCCCATCATACAAGTCATAAATGGTGTTTGGCTGTCTCTTTTAGAAACAGGCAGAGCAGCATTCCCGCTCTCCCCAGCAGCCGGTGTGGTGCCCGAGGCTGGATTCCCTCAGACTGCCTTGCTCCTTGGCTGGCTTGTTTGAGCAGCCCCTCCCCACTTCTCTTCCGGCCAGGCCACGCAGAATCCTCTAAGTAGGAATGCCTGTTCACTCCCTGATGGAGGAAGAGCAGGAAGAGGGGAGAAGGGAACAGGGAAAGAGCCAGATGTGGAGTTCACTGGGTCACCATGGAGCCCTGAAAGCGACAGTCTCCTAGGACCCTGAAGGCTCCTAAACCTTTGAGCTTTTGCCAGAGGGTTTTCCTCCTGGAAGAAGAGGGAGGAGAGCCCTTCCAGGGGACAGAATGTGCAAAATGGCAATATCATCCAATAGTTGTATTTTTAAGAATTTAAGCAGTCACACTGCCCTGAACAGTGGTGGTCACCAGCAACCTTAATCCTCTTCTGCCTTTTCCTTTTGTTTTCTTTTTCTTTAACCTTTACAGAAAAGGTGTCTAGCAGGCCTGCCTCACAAGCTTTATGTATAATACTCATAACAGCTTCAGAAAGGCAAAGGGATGACCAGGCATGGTGGCTCATGCCTGTAATTCCAGCACTTTGGGAGGCCGAGGTGGGTGGATCATAAGGTCAGGAGATCTAGACCATCCTGGCTAACACGGTGAAACCCTGTATCTACTAAAAATACAAAAAATTAGCCAGGCGTGGTGGCGGGTGCCTGTAATTCCAGCTACTTGGGAGGCTGAGGCAGGAGAATGGTATGAACCCGGGAGGCGGAGCTTGCAGTGAGCCGAGATTGCGCCACCGCACTCCAGCCTGGGCAACAGAGGGAGACTCTGTCTCAAAATAAGTAAGTAAATAAATAAATTAATTAATTAAATTAAATAGAAAGGCAAGGGGACAATCCCACCTAACAGAAGAAGTGAGAGAAAAGCTTCTAGATTTCTACTAGTCTAGGTGAAGACAACAGTTTCAGACAGATCTGAAGAGAAGGGACTGTTTCCTCCCTTGATGTGGCTTCCCTCCTGCCTCCCCAGCCCACTACCCAGCCCCTATGGGGAACAACATTGGGAGGTGGAAAGCATTGTTCTGAAATTCTGAGTTGCACAACTGACTTGTTTAGAGAATGCTGTAAAACCACCACAAGCTGTCTGGTAGGGAAGTGGGGCCAGGGTGAATAATACAGGGAAAATAGGGAAGCAGCAGGAGTACTGGAAGAGGCCGCCTTACCTTTCTTGCTGCCAATAACTTGGTGAGAGGAACAGAGCTGATAGAGCTACCTGCCACAGACTTTGAATACATCTTCCTCCAGCAGCCAGGGGTGCTCATGGACTGTCTAGAAAGCACTGTGGATAGCCCTTGCCCACTCAATTTCATGGTTCTGAAGCCCTCTGGAACCCTTAGAACTGGAACTTTGGTGCTAACCACAAACTCCTTGGAGGAACAGACATGGGGTAGTACCCTTACCTTTGCCATCTGTGCCTGTACACCACTGGCCTTCAGTGCTGTTACAGCTTTCTGTGCTGCTGAAGGGCTGTCAAAATCTACAAAGCCATAGCCTGGAACAGAGAAACAGCATCACTAGGAAGTGGGAGGTGTAAGGAACATAGGGAGGTCCAGGCTTTTCAGGAGACAGAGGAAGGGTTATGATCCATGGAACAGAAATGGGAGGGAGAAAGAGCTACTGAGAGGTTTCAGGTAGTTATCTACATGCTCCTCAAACCCTGAGATGTGATCTAGTTTGTGGCTAAGAATGCCAAGGCAATGAGCTACTCTGGTGTCCCTGCCTTTCTCCCTCCCCCTTAAGAAATCTGAGGTTTCAGGAACTAGGATCTTCTAATAACCCAAAGCCCCCCTATACCTCTAAAAGAATTCGGTCCTCTCTTTTCTTGATATACCCCAGAAATGCTAGGCATGTGGGGAATGCGGCCTCTCCAGGGCAGACCACCAGCCACCTGCTGGAAGAAGTCCCTCACCACCCCAACCTATAGGCCTTTCTCTTCTTTCCACTCTTCCAGCTCTATCTAGAACTGCTCAAACCCCAATAAAACTACTCACCCTCAGAAAATAACACCCACCAAAACACTCCCAAAAACAGGCATTTACATGGCTTTGCTAAGCAGAAGGAAATCTCACCCACTTCTACCACCTCATCTAGGGAAATACAAAGTCCAAAATAAGCTCAGTAGACTCAAAGGCGTTTTGTACAGTCTTCTGGCCTTGGGGCCCTAAACAGCATTTTCAGCTCTAGCTATCTGGTCACCAAATAATCTAAATATCTCCTAATCTTTTAAGCCTAAAAATTTCAGGGACTCCTTGCTGACACTGTAGACTCAGGAATCTCAGCAGTAAAGGGCAGTGGCGAGGGATGACCTCACTTACTGGTGCTCTCCATCACCAAGGACAGTTGTTCTCTCACCTTTGCATTTGTTTGTGGTCTTGTCCAGTATGGCCTTAGTGGAAACAATCTTGCCATATCTAAGGGAGAGGAAAATGCAAAGTAATAATCTGGGGGCAGAGACTAAGAATAGGACAGAGATTCAGACATCTCGACAAATCCATGCCCTTTCCATGGTCCAACTTTTCCTACTCAAGCCTTAATAAAAATAAAAAAGAAATGGGAGCCGGGTGCAGTAGCTCACACCTGTAATCCCAGAATTTTGGGAGGCTGAGGCTGGAGGATCACTTGAGGTCAGGAGTTTGAGGCCAGCCTGGCCCAACATCATGAAGCCTCACCTCTACTAAAAATACAAAAATTAGCTGGGCATCACGCCAGTAGTCCCAGCTACTTGGGAGGCTGAGGCAGGAGAATTGCTTGAACCTGGGAGGTGGAAGTTACAGTGAGCCAAGATGGCATCACTGCATTCCAGCCTGGGTGACAGAGCGAGACTCCATCTCAAAAAAAGAAAAGAAAGAAATGGGTTAAAAATGCCACACTTAATATAAACTCATCCTCCCCAAAGGTACCTAAAAGAAATAAGGTAACTGTAGTCCTTATAATACCAACACATTTCTCTCTTCTTTCCCAGCTAAGACTCACACACTAGTTGGAAAGAGATGACTGTCTCTTGGGGAAAGAAGCTTGGCAATGTCCACACAAAAGAGTGTGTAGAGGCAGAGCTCGGGCTGGAATTCCCTGAGGACTAAAAAGAATCCTTGCTATTACTTATTTTCTTTTGGAAAACACCACTGATCCTATGAAAAAAACTATAGATATTTTTCTTCTCTGATACCCTATTCCCATCACTCCTCCACTGACCCCTTTAACTGAAGGTCAACCTGAGCCAAATTGCTTTGGTTCAAATGCTGGTTCTGCCACATTTTAGTTATGTGTGATCTTGAACAAGTCATTTAACCTTTTGGTGTCTCAGCCTCATCATCTGTAAAATGGAGATAGGATTGTTAGGAATGTGAAATGAATAAATACAAATCATTAATGTCTACCACATGGTAAGCACTTAAAAATTTTAATTGCTATTATTATTATACTCAAGGAACCTCAACTATAATACCTTTCTTTGCCTTAGTCTAAGACTTCTATTTCTCACTGTCAAGATTTGAGAGTGTTAGGGAGGGGAGTGGGAACTGTAATATTAAAAAAAATTGTGTGTGTGTGTGTGTGTGTGTGTGTGTGTGTGTGCGTCAGGGTCTGGCTCTGTTGCCCAGGGTGGAGTGCAGTGGTGTAAACATGGTTCACTGCAGCCTCAAACTCCTGGGCTCAAGCAATTCTCCTGCCTCAGCCTCCTGAATAGCTGGGACCAAAGATGTGCTCCACAATGTCCAGCTAATTTTAAAAATTATTTGTAGAGATAGGATCTTACTATGCTGCCCAGGCTGGTCTTTAATTCCTGGCTTCAAGCAATCCTGCTGCTTTGGCCTCCAAAAGTGCTGGGATTACAGCTGAGAGCCACCATGCCCAGCTCTAAGAAAATCATCTTATAAACAAAAAAAGTCTAAATTTTGGTGATAAGGCCAAAGGGCTGCATATCCTTTCTTCTTCTTCTTTCTTCTTCTTTATTCCTCTCCCTCCTCTCCTTCTCCTTCTCCTTCTTTTTTTTGAGACAGAGTTTTGCTCTTGTTGCCCAGGCTGGAATGCAATGGCGCGATCTCAGCTTACTGCACCCTCCGTCTCCCGGGTTCAAGCGATTCTCCTGCCTCAGTCTCCCAAGTAGCTGGGATTATAGGTGCACATCACCACACCCAGCCAATTTTTACATTTTTAGTAGAGACGAGGTTTCGCCATATTGGCCAGTCTGGTCTCAAACTCCTGACCTCAGGTGATCCACCCGCCTCGGCCTCCCAAAGTGCTGGGATTACAGGTGTGAGCCACCACACTTGGCCAAGTTATAGATATTTGTCCAGTAAAAATGCAAATTATTTCTGCACAGTAGAAAAAATAATTGCAAAGGTTAGTGGCTTTACTATCCTATAGGACATAAACCAGTTTTTATCTAGTGTAACAATCTTATTCCAACATTCTTTCTTCATTTCCTATAGTTCCTCAAATGCTCTTTGAACTCATTTTGCCATCCTGCTGGTTGGTTCCCTCATTAATGAGTTATAAAAATCTTTGACACTTGTTCATTTTATATTTGCATGACAGTTGTGTTTTCTTTTCATTTTTTGAAACAGAGTTTCGCGCTTGTTCCCCAGGCTGGAGTGCAGTGGCACGATCTCGGCTCACTGCAACCTCCGCCTCCCGGGTTCAAGTGATTCTCCTGCCTCAGCCTCTCAAGTAGCTGGGATTACAGGCATGCGCCACCACACCCAGCTAATTTGGTACTTTTAGTAGAGACAGGGTTTCACCATGTTGGTCAGGCTGGTCTCGAACTCCAGACTTCAAGTGATCCACCTGCCTCAGTCTCCCAAAGAGCTGGGATTACAGGTATGAGGCACTGTGCCCAGCCTGACAGTTGTTTTTTTCAACTTTTTGAAAATTATACTTTGGTAGCAGAGTCACAGGGAACTTCTAAAACTTGAATAGTAGTGTATCACAGATCAGGGATTGTATTTGAGGTGTTCCACTAGAAAAAAGCCTCTACATTCCACTCCAGGAGGATGAAACTATTAAAGAGACAGAACAGAAATCACTAACAAAGTCAGAAGTACAAGAGCTAACTGAAAATAGTTGGCAGGGACTGAATTTGAGAACAATACCCCAAACAAGCAATTTTCCCATCTCTCCTTCCATCCCTAAAGAACATATGATGACTGATTTGTTTTCACTCCTTGGCAGCATCTCACTGACTTTTTTAGTGGAACTTCTGTGATCCAAAGGATTAGACAGAATAAGCCACGCAATGCCCTGGAAGCTGGGAACAGAACACATTAAAAGGAGGGTGAGGATGGATGTGGCTACCCTAGCCCTTCCAGGCTACATACTTGGATTCATTCCCAAGTTTAGGCAAGGGGAGGGACTCTTGAAAAGTCTGACTGTGGGGCCGAGGACACAAGTGCTGCTATCCCTATGAAGGCCCCAGGGTGGAGCTTGCTGTGGTCTAGCAGCTGAGACTTTGAGCTCAGAATTTCCACTGCAGCTGGCAACAGCTGGGTCACTGCTGCTGCTTCCTTGAAGGAGCCCCTCTGAGAACCAGGAGTTCCAGTCCTAGACTCCACGCCTCTCCTTCCCACATACCAGACTTTAGGATCCAGCAATATTTACTTCCTCTACAACCCAGGGAGAGACAACTGGGACAAAGGCAGGAAGTCCTTCTACGCATGAGAAACATCCTTCCTAGAAAGGCTTAACTCCCTGCTCACAGCAGACCGAGGGCTCTACCCACCTGCTCTGCTCAGTCTCCTCGTCAGGACTCCTGTGGCACCTCTTTCATCCCTGCCTCACTCCTGCCTCTCCACAGTCCCCTTTTGGGCTCCTTACTTCAATCCTACATGCTGTCGTTGACTATACTTATGCTTCAGACTCAGCAAAAAATACGGCAATTGTTCAGAATGGCAAAATAAAAATCACTCTGTACCTGTGGGTTTCCCACTTGTGGATTGAACCAGCCATGGATTGAAAATATACAGGAAAAAAAATGGCCTTTCTTCTAAGAGAGGTTCAGGGAAAAAAAACTAAAAAAATAACTGTTGGGTACTATGCTTAGTACCCAGGTGATGAAATAATCTATACACCAAATACCTGAGTCCCAAGTTTACCTATAGAACAAACCTGCACATGTACCCCTTAACCTAAAATCAGTTAAAATATACTTTTAAAAAAAGGATGGTTGTATCTGTACTGAACATGTGCAGACTTTTTTCTTGTCATTATTCCCTAAACAATACAGTATAACATTTATTTATATGGCATTGGTATTGTATTAGGTATCATATGTAATCTGGAGATAATTTTAATG